GTGGCTCCTGCTGTATGTGTCTCTAGCCCCAGAAAAGCACGCTCCAGCTGCAAGGTCAGGCTGGTTTCAGATACACCTCAAACCAGCCACTGTTCGCTTTGAGTTTCCAGGATTGAAGCCCCAGTTTAAGGAAGAACAATCCACTTCACGTCTGGTACTCCTCCAGTCACCCAACACCACCAAGGCAGAAAGGGACATTTAATCTGCAACTGCTATACCGGTCATTTTTTTAATGTTTTAATGTTTTGCCTTTCAGCCCTACCCCTGCAGCACAGCTCTCCCGACAAGACTGTAACTCTAAGCGAGTGATGTTTTCTCACCTCGTGAACTGCTTGCTGTCCTCGTGGACTTCCATTTCACAGCTCTTAAACTCATTCAGCTCCTTCCGGATAGCAGCCTACACAAAGAGGGAAAGATTTTTTTTTTTTTTAAATCTCTTTTTTTATCTCCTGCTAAGCAATACGTATATCGCCCTCTCTTCCATCTCCAGTGAGCTCAGACATGACAAGAAGGTGTCATACCTCCAACACCCCTGCTCAGGGCTGATGTGTACCGCCTTTCAGCGGTGAAGAGCAGTTTTGATATGCAGAGCTGAGTCCCGCAGCCCCTTTGGGAAAGGATGGAGCTCGGACTGCAGCAGCCACCTGAGCTTTCGCAGTCCATTCACGCCAGGCTGAGTTTAAATCTGCCCCACCTCCTCCACACCGAGGGCTGGACCGTCCCCCACAGGCGGTCAGGGAAGACAAGAACAGTTTGCTTCCCTGCCAGCTCCTCGCCCAGGCCTGCCTCAGCTTGCAACGACCAGCACTCCTCCGACCAACGCCCTGCACCTCGCATCCTCTTAGATCGCTCAGGAGCCGAGGCAGAGGCCACACTGGCGTGCCGACTGTGCCCGACTTGGGCTCCACGTCACCACGGAGGGGGCGGCAAGCAGGGCTGGGTACAGCACTGGTGGGTGAAGGGACACCTTTTGGAGAGGTGGAGCAAAAAGAACAGAGCAAATCTCCTTGACTCACGCCCATTTGCATGGGACACCCTGCTCTAGCTTCCCTCCCCACACCTGGGGACAGGGCGCTCCCCTGTTACCTTGTCGGCCGGTGTTAGCTTTGTCCATGGCTTATCTGCTCGCCGGTCATAGTCTTGAGCGTCTGTTACTTCCACATATTCATTAAACCTCAGGATCTTCCTGGCCTGCAGCTCCGCCACTGTAGGCCTTTGGCTAAGCTGAACACCAGCAAGAACAAGGAAAGTTAGTTTGTGCCTTGTCCACAAAGCAGCGCAGGACTAAGCATCTCCAGCAAAACTAAAACCAGTTCCCTCACCGGGCCTGAACCAGAGACACTACCAGGTCCTGCTCGCAGCCCGCAAGGGAACAGGCAAACCCTCTAACAGACAGCATAGTCTCGTTTGGATCACGAAGCCAGGCTAAGGCAGAACCAAGGCCACATTGCTAAGGAGAAGGAAGACACTGGGGGGTTTGGGAACAGCCACTACAAGGGCGAGCCCTGCGTGACACCCCGAAACCAAGCCCATTCCCCGCTTCAGCAATGGCAACACTCACAGTCCCTTGGGAAGTTTTTCCCAGCCTGAGTAACAACCTCAAGCAACTCGGACGTAACAGCTAAAAGCTGCTGTTGCTCTGCGCAGCTTCTCCCATGCTGCTGTTACTTTAAGAAATGGATTTTTGGGGAGCCTGGTGTGAAAGCAGTGGCCACTGAAGTACCGAAAACAGCCAGGCCAGCACCAGCAAACCTTCCAAGTGCCAGATGCCAAATTTAGTTCTCATCTAGCTTGTTACGCTTGACGCCAGCTCAGATCAATCACTGACAAACGTGGCTGCAGTGCCAACGGCTCACCGTTGGTGACAGCCCACGTTCCAAAGTCGCTGCAGTCAGAGGGCACTGGGGACACTTACACAATAGCCCTGTGACTTCACCCACAGCAAGGTACCTACGATGTGCTCATAGCCACCACCATCCCCGACAGCTCTGCCAGATGGCGATCACAGCACGGCGGCCAGCAGTACCTTTCTGGTGAGCCTGCGTTTGATCTCTCGCTTCTCAGCTTGACGGTCAGCTTCATTTTTCGCTGCCAAGGGAAAAGAAGAAATAAATTTCTCCTGTAAGCGTCACAGGCTTTGAAAAGTGCTTTCTGGACTCGAAGACAGGAGAGTATTGAGCTATATCAGATTATCTACATATCTGAAAGCTCATTGTGGTGTGTCTGCACTTATTACAGGCGGAGAGCACAGTCCAACTCAATACCCTTACTCACCACACACCCCCTCAACCGACAGGGGCAACACGGGCCTTTACACAGCACGCGTGAGTCACTCTCTCCAGCCCCGGGTACGTTAAAGATTAATGGCCATATTGTCAAAATACATCCAAAGCCACTTTGCAGATTGCTCGTCCCCAGAGCTATTATACTAATAGTTTAAAGAGAATAGCAGTGCAGATAAATATTTTAAATGGAAACTTCCTGAACTGACATTTCCCTTTCCTCAAGATGTTTATTTAAAACTTTTGCAGAGCAATGTATGGCCAAGAGAAACACCACTGACTGAGCAACGAACTGCTGCTTTTTGGATCGTGCGATACAATGCTGTAATGTCTGGACCACAAATAAAAGTCCAGCCCAAACAGAAACACATTTAACAGTCCTTGCTGTGTAACGTCAGAGTCGGAACCAGTTCACACACTTTCCCCTGAGGTGTCGGGCAGGGGACAGGTAGCTGTTCTATAATATGATGCTTTGAACTATATTGCTTGGTACTACCTGCTATGGTTTGATTTTATCCAGAGCTGGTCTCTGATGGTAACAAAGTACTGGGAAAAATTAGTGGAACCACTTCGCTACAGTGAGAACACCAAAGTACAGTCCTCTGTCACTACATTTCGAGCAGATTCCAGGTACACCTGGACTGAGGTGTTAAAGGCAAACTTATTTTATTACTTAGGACCACTAGAGAAGCATTACTCACGTTGAAGTATGTTCCTCTGCTCCAGTTCTTCTGCTGTTGGTCTCTGGCTCAGTCGCCTAAAAAGAAGTGAGACAAGCGCGTAATGTTTTATCTGGTCATTTGTCAGTGGGGGATGAAGAATACAGCTGCCTGGTTTCAGTGCACTGGGAAGCCTCCTCAACACCCCTCATTCACCACTGGAGACCACTGCTGCCCTATTTTGCGCTCACCTCCGCTCAAACATCTGTTCAGCCACCGGCACAGGTTTGGAAAGCGCTACGGCCTCTCAAAAGCTCAGAGGGACCTTCGCAGGGAACTGGAGGCGATGGCAGAGCCTGGACTATCAACAGCCCCAGCTTAATCCACCACCTCATGGCTCAGCACTCGGCCTGCATCTGCCCACATCTTTATACACCATCTATATTTTACAGCAGTAACATTTCTGTAATCCTGGGGATTTTTCCCCTCCCAATCCATTTAACCTCTGGAAACAGGGACCTATCAGAGAATATTGCTCAACTCCAGGAGGAACTTCCAACTTTTATAACTGAGGGTGGGGGAAAGCAACACTTAGCCTCCCAGCCCCGATCCAGCAGCAGTGCCCAACAACCCATTGTATTCCAGCACAGGCTGCTTGGAGAAGGCAACAGCTTTGTCCAATCCCACCCCTCACACGCTCTGCCAGCAGCTCAAACGTAACACCCTCCTTCATTCTCCGTACCTGATCAACGTCGTCCCAATCTGCTGCCGAATTTCGTTCCACTCCTCCTTGGTCTTCCGAGGGAAGACAATCTTCTCCTCCTGCGGCGTGGTTGCATTCCCCAGCTTTATAGCTAGCGTGTCTTTCCTCTTCACTTTGTTAGCCAGCGTGCCTGTGGGGAGGAAGAGCAATGGGATGTGACTGAAGACTGCAGTGCCCGGGCACAGCAATATCAGCCACATGCCCCTGGCAGTTGTGCTCTCCCCTGGGGCTTGCTTTCCGAGCTCTGCACTGCCGACCTAGCCAGAGCTAGTCACGACAGCAACAGCCAGCACTTCTGCGTGATGCCCACATGCTCACCCAATTCTATCCCACCTGAAGGGGTGGGACAGCGAAAGTTATTGCAGGAGCCATCTGCAACAGGAGGGGGGTGCATCTCAGCAGGTGAGCATACAGGTTTGGCTGTAGAGCCTTTGAAAAAGTGAGGCAGAGGACATGTGGTACATCATGAAACCACGAACCAGCTGCTTTGAGGCACTGTGTGAACTAGCTCTTTGATCCAGATCTCAATACAGCTAGGCACGAGTTCAGCAGAGAAAAAAAAAAAGCCAGCTGCAATGTCAAAGCCTTACTGTTATGGCTTTCATCTTCTTCCTCATCCTCATCATCTTTGTACAGGATGGGCCCCTCCGAGTCAGAGTCGCTCATCCCTTCATCTCCTTCCTGCTCCTCTGGCAGGACCTGGGGTACCAGTTTTGGGATGACTGTGACAGATGGCACATCTCCAATATACACACGAGGGCCCAAATTCTGCTCCTCTTCCTGGTCATCTTCTTCCTCTTCCTCATCATCTGGACTAACGAGAAGGACACTATTACATCTCTTAACAAACGCCACAGGGGTCGGGCAATACCCCCATGATCAACACCATGTTAGCTCTCCTCAGCTCATAGAAGCACATCTGCGGGGAGCCCAGGAACCAGAGACGCGAGAGCAGCCCCACGATGCTGCACCGTCCCCTCACTCCAAAGCGCAGGGAAGCTCTGGCAGAGGAAATGCCAGAGGAAGGTTCTTTACAGAACCAAATAACCCTCTCACCCCCCTAACTCTGGGATTTCCAGGTTCAACTCTGTTCTAATACAAGACAGTCCTTTTCCCACTTCTGTTTTGCAAAATGAAAGCCTAAGGAAGGCCACAAATGGATGAAATCCAGGACCTTGTTTTGTCTTGGTGCAATTAAAGACAGGCCTGGATTCCTGGCATCAGCCTGTATTTATAGTCTGGAACCCATTTTCCTTTGTGAGCAATAAAATCCCAGAACCAGGGTTAATTTCCCAGGAAAGATGCACTGCCCCCCCTAAGAGGCTGAAACACAGATTCAGCCAACAGGCAAAATGGTTTCTAGGCTGTTGCAAAAACCAGGAAAGAAAACAGCCCTTCCCACAGCCCTCCTCACCATCGCAGCCTCGTGGCCAGAAGCGGGGAGTACGACACCAACGTGTCAGAGCCCAGTGTGACCCACGCCACTGCTAAGTGTTTACGACACTCACGCACAGGAGGTACTCACACTTTCAGCATCTCGATGGTGACAGGCAGGGACCTCGTCCTGCCCAGGGTGCCATTGTCCTCTCCAAAGCCATCATTCTCGAAGAGCAGCGAGTGAGCCCTGTGCGACCCCTCAGCAGGCGGGGTGACAGGCAGAGGACTTGTCAGAGCCTGCTGAATACGGATGTGCAATGGGATTGGGGGCAGGCGAGGCAGCACGTGAGGTTCGACAAACCCTTGCTCTGCCATCCTCTTCGACACTTCCAAGGACCTGAAGTCTTCAGGAGGAGGAGGAGGAGGAGGAGGAGGAGGAGGAGGAGGAGTCTCTTTGGGTAGGTCTAAGGAGCGTGGAGGGTCCGAGACAGGGGTGGAGGGAGGCAAGGGCATGCGTGGAGGCTCAGGGGGGGTGGTGGTGGAGATGAAGGGGAGGATGAGGAGGAGGAGGAGGAGGAGTCTCTTTGGGTAGGTCTAAGGAGCGTGGAGGGTCAGAGACAGGGGTGGAGGGAGGCAAGGGCATGCGTGGAGGCTCAGGGGGTATGTGCGTGGGCAGCGGCGGCGAAGGCGAGGGTGGCGGGTAAGCAGAGGTCATGTGCATTGGTATCAGTGTGGGGCGGTTAGCTGTCACTGTCCTGTCGTTCGGGGGCTTGGAAGCGATAGCTGCCTCTGACGTGTTGTTAGGCAGGAGGCCTCTCTTCGGTGGGAGAGGAGGGGAAGGCTTGGACAAGCCTGTACCACTGTTCATTGCTTGAGAAAGTTCAGCTGAAAATAAAAGAAACACAAAAGCCACTGTATTTAACAAGGCATTTTCCAGATGTCCTTCACCACTGTGGGGTAAGCACGGCCAAGCACTCAGAGATTTGGACCACGCAATCTCTGCTGCTTTTCTGCTAGAACGCGGTGCCAGAAATAAGCAGGTTGCAAGCCTCTAGTTTGTCCTTCCTGCAGCAAAGGTAAGACTCGGGAGAGCAGCCAGAACCAAGCAGGCTGGGAGAGATCTGTGCATCCTGCTGCTTTGGAGAGAGAGAAACAGCACCAGCCCTCAAGTGACAGCAGATGGAGCTCACCCTGATCAGCACACTGCCTCAGCCAAGGAATGCAGGTATGTAGGGCACTTCATGGCTGTATTTACAGCATCAGTTTGCAAAGGAATTCAAGACATCCAGGACACCCCAGACTCCAGTTGTGTTAACAACTCCCTTGCACATTAAAAAACCACTTTTTGGGAAGTCTTGCTGAGGGCAAAAATCAGAACCGCAAGCAGCAATGTGCTCTCTCCCTTTCCATTCACCTGCCAGACCCAGCCCAAGAACACCCTGCTGTCAGCAGCTCCTGCCTGTTAGAGGATGAGGTTCTGGCTCTGCTCCCTCTGCCCTTTGCTCCTCGAGTCCCACATAAACTTCTCCGCAACTACAAAATAACTAGCAAAACTTAATATTTAAGAGCCTTAAGTCTACACAGAGTTGATCTGCTGTGTGATGGAGGAGAGAGGCAGAAATGGGGACCATGTCATATCATGGAAAATGCCTGCAGCAGGCAGCATTGGATTCTTCAAACACCTTTTGGTTCCTAGGGAAGAAGTTGCACCAGTGAAGACTGCTCTTGCTTTAGGAGTTTGTAGCCTTTAACATTTATCTATCAATGGCTTCTTGGGCTTGGAAAGGTTTTGCCCGCCTGCTTGAAGAGGATGAGGTTTACTACACGTTTCACCTGGAGTGAATGTGGTGATGGTCACACAGCGGCGGCCCCGGGATGGAGCTGGGAGGAATCCAGAGTACCGGACACCACAAGAGGGTGCTGCAAGCGGGGAGTGTTTCACCGAGATAAGGCTGCATAACTTGAGAGAGGTGGGCACATTTTTGGGATGTTTAGCATTTTCAGACTTTCCCCTTGTAGATTAAGGGCCAGATTGTGCAGAACACCGAGTGCCCTCAGCTCCCGTCAGCTTCAGCCTAGAGGGATTCCAGTATCTCCTCAGCAGTGCTCGAAGCCTGGCAGGACCAGGCACGAGTCACCTTTGGGTAAGGATAGACAGATTGTGAAAGGGACAAAGTAGCTGGCAGAAGAGAGAGGAGACAGAAAAGGACTGAGGCGCCGCTCAGAGCATCCCGCTGAGCCAGCTCGTCTCCCTTCAGTGCGATAAACCCAGTGCAACGACTAGCACAGCCTCTTGTGACATGCTGCCACGGCTGGAGCTGGTGCTCTAGCACAGGCTGCAGGAACTGGGGCTCCTGAAACCCATCAGTGGCATCAAGCACTAGGGCTGCCACCAAGCTCCCAGCCAGCAGCACAGCACCGTTCACCCTGCTTGCTTTTTCAAGCTGATGATGATTAGTTGCAACTCCCCAAAAGCAAGTGCTTCCTGAGCCTTATTTTCAGCTACTGCATCGGACACCAGAACTGCTCAGAGAATGAACATAAGGGAACATCTTTACCAGGGAACAAAGGGGCGATCTGCACATTAAGTCCTCCCTTGCCTTAGGTTATAACAGCAGCACAAAAGCACGCACATGCCCGAGACAGAGCGTGCATCAAAGACCCGTGGAGAACTCAGGAACCCAATTCCACTGCTGCTGTTTATCCACAGCAACAAAACAAGGCTCGCACAGCAATGCCTGCACACATGCTGCAGTTACAGCTCCATCGTGCTGGACACAGGGCCCTGCAGAGCTGCAAAGCCACTCTCTGCATCTGCATTCTCAACCAGGAGACAAAAGAGGGGCTGGCCCCTCTCCTCTCCTCCCCTCCACACCCCTGCAGCCGCCGGTGCACCGAGCCCGGCCGGCTGGGTCTGGACATGTGTTTGATAGACTGCTGTCTTCAGCCACAGGTTTTTGTTCCACAAGTACCTCCTGCAATTAGCGCTGGGGCATTTCAAATACCATCTGTGATGTGTGCAAGCAGCTTAAGGAAAACAAGAAAGTATTTCATCGAGTGCTCAGGCATGGTCAGACTAATCAAGCTGGTCTGGCATACAGGAGTGTTTAATACCATATCAAGGTCGCTTGCAAAACCTGCTAGAAGCAGGGAGAAGCCCTAAGGAGAACAGAAATGCAGTTTGTACTGACAGCAGTGGCCCAGGCTCCTTCAGATGGAAACTTGCACATGATCTAAGCTTCTACCACCACCTCCCCAACCACACCTGGGAAACGCCTCCAGTTCCTCTGATAACAGTGCAGACCTGTCTGATGGATCTTCCCCGGAACCTCCCTCCTGATCTGTACTAGCCTCTGCTAATCCAGTCCAAAGATTAGCAGGTGGTCTGTGAAGTATCAACAGGCCATCGATTGGATAGAAGTTGTCTCATTTACTCCAGCAGCGTTGCATCTTTAAGACCTCTAAAATTCCTAAAGAGAGCAGGGACTCATTCAGCTTTAAGAAACTGTCCCCAGATCTGCTTAGAAAAATTAGAGAGAGAAAGACATTTAATTCTTTAAGTGGAAAGATTCAGCTCAAATTACAGTTGAGCTGATTTATCCATGGGACAAGACTAATATGGCAATACCCTAAGCACAGACCTTAGAGAAGGTCTCTGCATATAACCAGGGAAGTCTGAATTATCCCTGCCAGCTCCTGGCCTCTCTGTACCAAGAGGAAACCACATGGCTCAGCAGCGACAGCCATAAGAGACCTTGTTTGGAGTGATGTGGATTTTTTGGTTTTGCTTTTCGCAAAGACCAGCTGAAAGTATCAATTCTCACTGACCATAGTCTTGCAGGGCAAAAATCTCATACGCTATCCACAATACTAGCTGAAACCCAGCCCGCTGTGAATCACCAACATTCAAAGACACCGTCTTATGGTTGACAGAGAAAGGCCTTCCCCTCTCCTTGCACCACCCCCCCTCCTGCCAAAAACAGGCAGAGATTCCCTCCTGCAGGGAGCTGTTGGAAACACGCAAGTCTGACAGATTGCATGCCTCACGGCAGAAGACTCCAGTAATTACACTGTTCTCAGCACACGTGTGCCCTGGCTAAGCACTGGCAGATCTTCTGAGTCCAAACTGGATTGTGTTCAGGAAAGATGGTCAGACAGTCATTATACAACATTTGCTAAATCACCCCTTATGAAGGGAAGAGACTCTCGGAGCAAGGGCTCCAGAACATCACAGGGTACAAAAACCAGCTTATGGAGGCACTTACCTATTACTGAGTTGCTATTCCTGTTGACAGGTTTGGGAGGAGGGACGGGAGGCTGTTTGGCAGGAGCTGTGCTGGTTGTACTCGTGGGAGCAGTAGTGTTGGCACTGGTAAGAGCAGGGGGCAGAGTCCTGGGGGCTGGGGAAGGGGCGGCTGTGGAATTGACTGTCTTTGCCACAACAGGGGCTGTGGTGGAGGGTGCAGTTTTTGCAGCACTGCTAGCAGGCATTGGATCCTTCGCCTGTGCTTCGTTTGCCTCCTGAGAAGTGGAGGGAGGTCTTTTTGGAGGAAGCAGAGGCTGTCTGGGAACATAGGGCTCCTGAGGTGGTTCCGGTTCGGGCCCAGAGTGGCTGCTGGATGAGCCTGCAAAGCAAGATACCTCGGTTTAAAAGTCTGGAGGGCCCCGAGTTGGGTGGGAAGAATCAGAAGAGAATCCAAAACTGGTCCTGGGAGAATCTGAAGCAACCAATTTTGTACACATCTGGTTTCTTACCCTGCCTTTTCTTTGGTTCCTCAGGTGGAACAGGCTTCCTAAGGCTGGATGGCTTTGTGGCCTCTTCCTCCTGGCTGGCCAGGTTACAAACCCCGGGACCACCGATTGGGACTGTGTGACCATTCTTCAGTGCGGGCGGGTTCAGCTTGTCTGGTTCTTCACCATCTGCAAGGGGACGGGAGGGGAGAGAAGCAAACAGAAAACACTCAGAAAGCAGGAGACAGAGGAGACACAGCTGAGCTGACTGAACTGCCATTGATCCGCACCAACTTCTCTCTGGCTTCCAAAACAGCTGGTCTTCAGTCTACCTGCTGCAGAGGAGAGCACAGCAATGCCAGCGAGCTGAAGCTGAGAGCCCTTGATTTCATTATCAACAAGCAAAACAGTACAGCACCGTATCCCAAGTGTTTTTCTTCTTCAGCAGCTCAGCAGCCTCTTAATCTACCACCTTGTTTAGAAAGAATGCTACTGCATTTAAGAGCAGTGTGCCCAGTGCTGTGCCACAGCACAAGGAAGTTGCAATTGCAGTTATAAGCCTCCAGCAGCTTCTGTATCTATCCACCGCTACAGAGTATTCACAAATTTTCTGCTGCAATACAAATTCCAACACTGGCCAAGTCATCTACTGGACATGCGATATTAGGTTTTGGTAAAGTCTTAAAATTAGTTTAAGTACCTCTATTGTCCTTCTGTTTCTACCCTGAATTTGGCACCAAAAAAAAAAAAATAAAAAAAAAAAAAATCACTG